AAATAGAGCTCCGCCAAGAGCTCTGCTGACCTTCGGGACCCTTCCCCTACCGGAGTCAGCGACTGGGCGTGTAAGCTGGGGCCCATCGGAACATCGCTCCCCTCCCCACGGCTCCACATGCATTTCCACAGCCAGAGCAGGGCAGCCGCTCACGCTGGATCTGATCTGCCAGGGAGGCACCTAGGGAAAACTGCATCTCCCCTCCAGTCTCCAGGCCCACCCTCCCTCTTCAGAGAGTGGAGAGTGCAGCGCTGGCTGCACCTGCATCTCCAACAGCTCCTGGGGGGGTTTCTCTGACTCGTGGGGATTAATTCTGATGTTCAAAGCGCTTGCAGATCTGCCGACACCGGCAGAAGCGCGGAGCACATTTGTCACGGATCGCGATCGGCTGAATGTCACTTACATTGATTTCTTTCTTCGCTGCATCATTCTGCATCTTGTGGGCGGGGCATCTATTGAGCAAATAAACGTAAAGTCCCAAAGTGCCGTTTCTTACCCCCATTCTGAGCTGCCCGCCCCAATGATGCTCCATTCCCTGGTGGGAAAGCTGCTAGGACAGTTAAAGGAGAGGATGGGTGTGTGGGTGCTGGGAGCAGGAGGTCCAAGGAGTTCCCCTAAGTGTGAGAAATAAACCCCTCCATTAGTTGGGCTGGAGCACAATGGACTTGCATCAGAGACACCTGGGAAAAAGTCAGAGCCTCTGCATAGGTGCGTGCACGTCCCATTCTTGTGAGGTTCATCATTCCAGACCTTCAACTCCGAACCTCCCACTGTCCAACACAGGCAGATTATCTGAAGCCTAGACATGCACAGCAGATCCCAGATGGGGTAGGTGCCACAAACAGAGCAGAAGGTGAGAAGGAGGCAGAGACGGGCATTCAGGGAACAGCCTTTTCTCCATCAGGAACTCATGTAAGCAACTGCAAGGAGCGAGGGACTTAACCTGGTCTGGCAACCAGCCGATTCCCCTGCTAGTACTCACTCCTATTATCCATTTACAATGCTGCAGACTGTGTGATCGTGAGAGCGTCCTTTGCATTCGCTGTGAGCATCTCCATGTGCCCTTCTAATATCCGCAGTCTCGGAATGGGTAAGAACGGGACTGGGTTTCAGCTCAGACGTCTACGTGGCCATTCCAGTGAGGAAGGACTATTTGGGTAAGCATTTGCAGGATGAGGTGTACAAGCAGCCCCCTGATGCTTGGGTGAAATACCCGTCTAAAGTATTTATTTATACCAGGCCTTTGCTTTGCATGGCGCTTCATAGAAATGTAGGAAAACGGGGTCCCTGCCCCAAAGAACTTATAATGCAAATGAACAAATGTGGATTATGTTGTTTTCATTGCTGAATTTTCTCTTTTCTTCCTGTAAACTTTCTACTCCTTCAGCTGGGTCTCTCTCTCTCTCTCTGAAAGTCTTTGTAATATTTGTGATAGACACGTGAACTAAACATGGGCTTATTGGCTCAAAGTCACATTCCAGGTTTACTTTGTTATTTGCACAGCTCGGTGTTTTCCCCGGATATAATTTTGCTCTTCAGGATTCCGCTGGAGTTTTTTTCTTTTTCTTTTCTTTTTGTGTGTGACGTTGTTATTTGTCCTATGAAATGTTGTGCTGATAGAGATAGACCCAATTCCCAACCCCAGACCCAAGCACCCTGAAATTCAGGGATGTTCGAGATCTGCCTCCATATGTGGTCGCTGGAGCCATTTAAAAGGTAAAGCATGGCAGAAAGAGTCACTTTCTTTAGAACTTTCTTTAGACTGCAGACACTGAACCACTGGATACACACAAGCGCTAACCCAGAACCTTAAAACACCTTCAGAAATCTTGCATTTCAGTTGCAGGATGTCATTATACATTGTGTCAGCTGGGGAACTGCGCCTGTCAGGAACCTTCCTGTACTCATCAAGCATCCCCAGGATACAGGACTGTGAGGGGCTTGGTGATGGTAAAGCATGGAGTCGTATGCAGCAGGGTGCCGGTGACTGGTCACTGCCGAGTATGACTTATGCTGCACAGAGACATGGGCAGTAGTTGCATCCACCGGTGGCATTACATAAGGTGAGCCAACACAGCTGTCCTGCTAGGCCTCATTCTGTACAGGCCATGCTGGGCTCGCTGTGTTGGCTGTGACATGCAGTGGTGGAGCTAATGGGGGTGACCTTTAGGTGTCTGTGTGGTACTTTTTCAAGCACATTATGCAATTGAGAAAGAAGGTGTACCAGGGGCTGCAGAGTGAGCCCACCCTGCATGCACTCATCGGCAGCGGCTCAGGTCCCGCGGGGCTGGGCCCAGCTCCCTGCTCCAGGCCTTGTGACATGGTGCCCAGGGCCGCGTGGCACTGTCTCCCCGTGCGCCGTGTCGCAGCGCCACTATTCGGCCTGGCTGCCTCTCTGTCACGACAGGGGGTGGCCGAGCCAAACCTGAACGGCGCTGTGACCCCAGGGGCCAGGTCACAAAGCCTGGAGTGGGGAGCTGGGCCAAGCCCCATGGGACGGGAGACATTGCTGCTGGGTGAGTGCAGGGTGGGCTCACTCTCCAGCCCACTACCAATGACCCATTTCCCCCCCGCCCCATTCGCCAAACCTGGTTCCGCGGCTGGAGACATGATGCTGCGGTAGCTGTAGTGCCAATCATGCACACCGCGTGGAACGCCCAGGCCTCAGCGCTGTCTCTACACATTTCGTCTAGCTGGAGGCCAGTCCGCACTGCAGGGTGACAAAGTCGGTGCGTTGTCTCCAGAGGAACCGGGCAGAGGCCATGGAGAGAGGGTAACAACCGCCTTAGCACGGAGAGACTGATTCGACTGCGTGAGCAGGCGCCAGAACGAGGGTGTTCCCCACATCTGAGAGAGACGCAGCTCAGCTGGTTCTGCAGAGCCCTCCACCCACCCATCCCAACGCCAGTAAGGATGTTACGTTATCAGCACTGCAGCAAACGCATCGGCTAAACATACCCTCAGGGAAGACATCGCAACCACTTCCCAGACGTGACTAAGCCTTTAATAGGTGCCCTGTGTGTGTCACAATCTATGCTCAATAAGACTCTCTCATCCCTTCCACCCATTCCCTAGGCAGTTGCATCGCAGCTACCCCACCGGTTTGTTGCAAGGAAAGATGTTCCATCCCACAGAGCACTTTCTTCTTGCTTTTATGGTAAGGCGAAGGGCCCGAGCCACAAAACGTGGGTCTGGATCATGAAACCCCCCAAAGTTGGAGGCTGTTTGGATCCCAGGGTTTTGGTTTGGCCTGATATAAAGACAAAGGCAATGGTGTTTGGGTTAAATAACTTTGTGGGTGTTCAGATTCCGGCCCACCTCTCGGCTACATCTACACTACCCGCCTGAATCGGCAGGTAGAATTCGATCTCTCGGGGATCGAATTATCGCTCTCGTCGGGACGCGACAATCGATCCCTGAATCGACGCTTGTACTCCACCAGTGCAGGTAGGAGTAAGCGCCGTCGACGGGGGAGCTGCAGAGGTCGATTTGCCGCCGTCCTCACAGCGGGGTAAGTCGGCTCGGATACGTTGAATTCAGCTACGCTATTCGCATAGCTGAATTTGCGTATCTTAAATCGACCCCGCCCCCCGTAGTGAGGACGTAGCCTTGACATAAGGCCATGGAGGTGCAGCTAGTCGGAGCCTGTGCCGATTGCCTGATATTCACCAATTTTACCATATTCACCATATTGCCTTATGCTGCCAATTTTATCCTCCTCGCTGCTGGGCGCTGCTGGACCCCCACTCAGAATGAGATAGCCTTGGAGTGCCTGCCTTGGCACCACAATGGTGATGGGCCTGCTGGAATTCTGGACATGCATTTTGCAGTATGTACCTCAAGCACTGAGAAGTTAAAAAAAATAAAAGCTCCAAACTCTTCAGCACAGAACTGGACTGTCCCCTTCCTTCTGTTCACACAGATTCTAGGAAACTTGGATCCTCACCACCTGCCCCTCCCTTTCCTCCACATCTTCCCTAACTGGTATATTGCTGCCCAGACACGTTGCCTCTGTTTGCCTGGAACAAACCCACACAGCTGGGAAAAGTTCTGTGGCACTTTTGGACTGATCTGGAGGGGTTGGCTAAGGGTTCTAAGCCTCAGGTTTGGAGGTACCAACACTCCTCAGGTAGATAAACTGATTACTTCCTTACACAACACGCTGGTAACCTGTGGAACTCACTGCCAAGCTATATCATTGACACCAAGAGTTTAGCAGGATTTAAAACAGGATTAGACATTTATATGACTAATAACATCCATAGTGACCTTATATAGGATAAAGCAACCATTTGACAGGGGCTCGGGAAAAAACATCGCATGGGCAGGCTACATGGTGCATGTTCCTCTGGAGCATCTGGTACTGGTCCCTGTTAGAGACAGGATACTGGGTTAGACGGGCCATCGGTCTCGCTCAGTAGGACTATTCGGATAGTCCTGTGTCATCGGGTGGCTGCATGTCAGCAGTGCCATTGGCAGGGGCGCTTGGGGAATCAGTGCGCCGAGATCACTGCCAGCATTGTGGCACCGTTTCCCTGTGCTACCCCGGTGTGTCGGTCGGTACCCACCGGTGGGCTCTTGTCTTCTACTGAGGCTAGGTCTACACTACCCGCCTGAATCGGCGGGTAGAAATCGACCTCTCGGGGATAGAATTATCGCGTCTCGTCGGGACGCGAGAATCGATCCCCGAATCGACGCTCTTACTCCACCAGCAGAGGTGGGAGTAAGCGCCGTCGACGGGAAGCCGCGGAGGTCGATTTTGCCACCGTCCTTACAGCGGGGTAAGTCGGCTGCGATACGTCGAATTCAGCTAGGCTATTCGCGTAGCTGAATTTGCGTATCTTAAATCGACCCCCCCCTGTAGTGAAGATGAGATCTCGAACCCTTTGGGGCAGGGCCTGTCTTGTCCTGTGTCTGCACAGCGCCTGGCCGTGGCTGGGGCTGCTGGAAATAAGCAGTGGGGCTCCGAGGGAGCTGATGGCAAGGGAGGCAGGGCAGATCAAGGCAGCTGCTTCAGCTCAGCCCTTCCTTGCCGGCAGAGGGCAGGGCCCCTTTCCCTGCATCCCCGTCCCGGCTCCCTGCACCTCCAGCCGGGGGGTTAACCAGACCCACGCGAAAGAGGAAGAGAGAAGCGGCCGAGCAGCCAGGAGGAGGGAGCGGAGGCTGGGGAGAGGGGGCGAGCGAGCGAGCCCAGAGGCGGAACTGCCGAGCCAGCCGCCGCCGCCGCCTTACCCTGCCCGGCTCGCTCCGGCACAGAGACCCGGCTGCCCCGGCGTCCTGAGCCGAGCCTCCCCGACCGCGCTCCGCCTCCAGCCCCGGCAGCGGCTCCCGCGGCCCCGCAGCAGAGGCAGCGATGCAGGCGCTGGCCCTGGCCCTCTGTGCCCTGCAGCTGTGCCCAGCGGTGCTGGGCGGCCGGTGGGGGCAGCCCTTCCTGGTGGAGAGGCCTCAGTCCCGGCGGCTGAGCAAGGTAAGGGGTCTGCACCCCACCCGGGGACGGGGCAGGGGCTGTGGAGTGGGGCAGACGCAGGTTCCTAAGGGCCCATGGGCTCTAGCCCACACGTGCCAAGTGTCGGAGCCTGCTAAGTATCAGAGGGGGAGCCGTGTTAGTCTGGATCTGTAAAAAGCAACAGAGAGTCCTGTGGCACCTTTAAGACTAGTGTCCTGACTGCCTGGGGCGGGCTGGCCTGTGTGGACGGTGAGCCGGTGCGGGGGAACGAGGTCCCAGCCCTGGGCAGCAGCCGGAGCGGGAGAGCTGGGTGGGAAATGGTTTTCCTGCCTGGCCGGAATTTTCCAGGTCTCCCAAATTGGTCCCCTCCTGCTCGGCTGACCAGATAGCAAGTGTCAAAAATCGGGACAGGAGCTGGTGGGGGGGAGTAATAGGTGCCTATGTGAGAAAAAGACCCCAAAATCAGGACTGTCCCTATAAAATCGGGACATCTGGTCAACCTACCTCCTGCATCGGGACCAGGATCCGAAATTGCCAATGGCGATTTCGCACACTGACAGTGGGAGAAGAATTCCCGTCGGGTCAGTCGAGACATCGTGTTTCGATCGTTTCGACACGTTTCGATTTTGACCTTTTTTTTTTTTTTTTTTTTTTTTCCTTTTTTTTTTTTTTTTTTTGTAAAACCTTTTTTGGGGTATAAATTAACAAACCGTTTGGAAGGAAAAGTCAAGTGTGGCTTTAATGAAAAGCCCTTTCTAAGAGCCGGCTCTGTATCATTATGATTTCTGAAGGCTGAAGGGGAGCAGGGACTCTTAGCGTGAGGAGCAGGACTGCATACCCACCTGTCACCCTTGGCAGCACGGGGCTATACGCCCACTTCTGTCCCCAGGAGAGGAGTGGTGAGCGCTGGCCTGGATTCCTACGGGCGTAGCACCCTGCTTGCTTGTGTGGGAGCAGGGCTGCTTGCCAGCCTGTAACCCGGTGCTGCTCACAATGATCTCGAATCCCTGCGGCCCTGCACCTTGTGGAGTTGTTTACACCTGTGCCAAGCAGGTGTGAATTGCTGCCGTCCTGATGGGGCAGTGTGCCGAGCTCCTGTTCTGTGGGTACAAATGATGGCATCAGGTGGAGAATCAGACCCCACAGGCTTTGCCCTTCTGTGCGCTGGCACTGCCTGTGTCCATGGCCAGAGAGGGTCTCCGTAGTGGTGGTTTGGTGACATGGATGCTTGTCCACCAGGAGCTGGACCAAGGTCCCTCAGCCATCCCCGCATACTATGGATAACTGCGGCCTGAGCTGTTCCTAATGGCTGTCCCGTTCCTTACCTGCCTCCTGGAGTCCTTGCCATTGGGACCATAACTCAGACATGAACTAGATTGCATTGTTATTGAATCTGTGCAATAACAGCCCTGTGACCTCAGGAGAGCCAGCACAGAGACCAGGCACAGGAGCTGCCTTATCTGGGCCGTGCTCAACTTTCAGTTCTCATTTTGTTCTTTTAAATCTCAGTTCTGCTTTTGCAGCAACCACCTCACCAGCCAAAGTCGTGAGAGGCTGGAGAGAGTTCTGGGGGGGTGAGAGATCTCCCCAGAGCCAGAGGCTCTGTCCGAAAACTCGCGGCTAGGCAGAGAAGCATGTAACTCTTTGCACAGAGGCTGCAGAACGGACATGGAGGCATGGAGACATGAGGGGTGCAGCTTGGGAAGGGAGGTGCAGAGATGTCTGTAACCCCCCTTTATGCTCTCCTGATATGGGGCTGTGCTTTGGATTTGTCTCAGCCTGAAATTCGGCAGCTTTAGGCCTGTTCTAAATGACGCCGGTTGCCAGTGACCCCCAAGGAGCCCAGAAAGGAGCAGGGGTGTCTGGGGCTGGCTTGCAGGGCGGAGCGATTGTGTGGAAGAGCTGCTCCGCTGGCATTACACCTCATTGATGTGACCCCCCCTCAGGTGGCTATGCCAGGGATAGAGCCACTCCGTGCTGCCAGGCCGGGGTTTCAGTGTGTGCCAGACCATTATACAAGCGTATCTAGTCAAAAGCAAACATTGAATCGATACTGAGGGCCTGATTCACTTTTATACTGAGGCCACTTTATACCGCTGTGGCAGTGAAAAGGTGCCTCCAATTACCCATTACCTGGGCTATAACTCTGGTGGAAGCAGCATTTCCCTACTTTCCCCTATAGCCCCCACCTGTCAGAACAATTACTGCGTGCTTCTTCTGAGCTCACATTGGTCAGTTCACTCGTGTCCCCTCCCAGGGAGCTGGGCTTATTTTAGTTATCCAAGAGGACAAAACCTTGTCTCTTGCTTGTTCAGACTCATGTTTGCACTCTAACTAAGTCAATGGCTTTAGTGATAAAGCTTCAAACTTAACCTGGACTTTTGTCCCTTTGATGTGGCTGGAGAAATGTTATTTAGAAGGAGCAGAGTTATCCATGACTCAGACTGAGGCACTCTGAGTAGGCAGCACAAGATGTTCCATGGAAATCCTAAGCAGCCCATGATCTGGGTGGCCCGAAACCTCTGACTGCCAGAAGCTGGGCCTGGATGACAGGAGATGGACCACTTAATAATTGCCCCATTCTGTTCATTCCCTCTGACGCATCTGGCACCATCCACGGTCAGAAGACAGGATGCTGGCCTAGATGGACCATTGGTTTGACCCACTGTGGCCATTCTTATGTTCTTATATTGAAGGTGTGAATCTATAGAGATACACTCACTCCAGCAGAACGCTACATGCTGAAATTTTCTAGGACTAGACAGAGGTGGGCTACTGGGACAAGTTCTCCTCTTGGTGACATGTTGGCAATCCCACTGACATCAGTGGGATGGAACCGACTGTAAATCAGAGGGGTTGCCCCCGCAGAACCAGTCTGTCCCAATACGGGAGCAAGGTATGCTGATGAGTCCATGTGAGGGGATGTCCAATGAAACTATGGTTGCTTCTGCTGTACCTGTCCTGTGGATAAATAGACTTTGGTTTCGAATGATTTGTCTACACACAGAAGTTGCACTGGTTTGAATGAAATTGGTTTTAATTTGATTTAGCCCCAGTCGTGCACACGAAGTTGTGTTGGTTTGAACTGGAGGTGTGACTTTATACCAGTTCAGTTAAACCAGTGCAGCTTTGTGCATGGATGCTCTTATACCAGCTTAAATCTGGTTTATATTGGTGTAATTTGTGTTGGTAAATTTACAGGTACAAGCTGAACTGACCAAAACAGTTTTAAACTAATATAAGAGTTTGTGCACAAAAGTTGGTGCATTGGTGTAACAAAACTGATTTAAGTGAAACTAGTACAACTTCTGGGTGTAGATAAGCCCGTACGGCAAACCACTGTAGATACTCTTCTGGTGGTTTAGCTTGCACCTGTTAATTTACCAACACCAGCTAACCTGGTATTGAACCAGATTTAAATCAGTTTAAGACTGTCCACACACAAAGCTGCACTGATCTAACTAAATCAGTATAAAACCACACCTTCAATTACACTGGTGCTAGTGTGTGTGTAGACTAGGCCATATATACTCAGTTCAGAACCTGTTAATAAAACGAGCTCTCTGAGTTTCAGAGTCTAGTGTTTGTTGGTGACGTCAGCGACGAATGTGCTGTTTCTACACACACATTAAATCTGGGAGATGCATGTTTTTATAAGCATTGTTCAATAGGAAACTTGGAAATGCCAGATAGAGGAGCAAGTGTTGGGCTCAAATGTATTAAAAGGCTTTATAATTATTGCCTGAGGAGAGTTTCTAAAATGCCCGATGGATTTAGGATCCCAGAGGCAATGGCATTTGTGCTCCTAAATCCCTTGGGAGCTTTTGAAAATCTCCTCCTGAAATGTTAGAACAGTGTTACCATTTCTTCAGCATTTGACAGAGACCATTTAACCCTTTCCTTCGCTCAATCCTGTAGGTTGGTGGCTTCTCGTGGCAGAACTGTGGCAATGGGACCGATCCCTTTGTGATTAAGAGTCTGTCCGTAGCCCCGGATCCGATCTACATCCCCGGGAACCTGAAAGTCAGCGTGGAGGTTTCCAGTGAAGCTGACATCGGCTCCCCTCTGAAGGTATGTGAAACAGGCAAGCCCGCCAGAGAGGCCTCTTCAGACACAGGATCTGCCCATTAACGTGCTGTGGAGTGCTGGGAAAGAACGTGCCCAAAGCCACCACAGCACCTGGCCCCGGCGGCCTTTCGATTCTCTGAAATGCCCAACAGGTGTGAATAAACGGGGATTGCTAGACCTGGGGCGTGTTTCCAGCCCCAGACCTTCCACTGCTGCAGTCGGTTTCCAGGGCCCAGAGTTTCTTATTCTGGCTTGGTCTGTGCACGGTCTGGCTGTTGGGCGGCAACTTTTCACTGAAACGGGTCAGTGCAACCCCTAGGATGCAGTTATATGGGCAGAAAGGTGCTCGTACCACAATAGCTATTCCCCTCCCTTCAGGAAAGTTAAAGCAGCCCATTGATTGGTGTGTAGTCACTCCCTTGTGACTTCCCACCCCCGCTCCTTGCCCCCCGGGCCCGGCCTGCGAAGTGGAACTGGGTAAGCTCCAAGCTGCTCCCACCTCCCGCTCCCTGGAGCAACCTGGCGGCGTCTGTGTTAGGCTGGGGTGATGAATGAGGCTCTGAGGGAACGCAGCCAAGTCTGAGGAAGGCGGGCACCGAAACTTCCACGGCCAGATTGGCAAATCCTGGGCACCCGCAGATCCCAGCGAAGCCAGCGGGAGCTGCTGAGCGCTCAGCGCCGTTGAGAATAAGGCCGAGGGTTTTAGATGCGGTGAGCTCCAACGGGGGCCGTTTCCTTGATCTTTCCTCGCCCAGGTGGGGAATGATTTCACCGAGCTAAAGGCCACAAACGGGTGTTCAGAGAATGAGGAAACACAGGGGGAGGGAGTGAGAGGAAGGAGGGAACACAGAAGCAATGAGAAGGGGGATGCTGGTGGGCAGAGAAATCGGAGACTCTGAGTTGGGGAGTCAGATTAAGGTCAGGAGGAGGAGAAGAGACAAGGGGAAACCTTCATCGGAAATTGAAACGAGAGAAGAGGAAGCGGGGGAGGGATAGGATACCAGGAGATGCAGAGGGGCAGGTGGGAGATGCCTCTCTACCAGGTGACCCCCCTCCCCAGAACACCAGCCAGGGGGAGCAGACCCATTACCCACCCCCAAATGCCAGACTAGGCTCCTGATTGCGGAGACACCGATAACTAACAGAATCCCTTCCTTAAAGCTCCTCCACATGTGCACAGCACCTGCTGCAGCTGGGGGGGTGGGGCCCTCCTGAGCCCACACGCCTTCCTGGGACCCCCGGCAGAGGGTCTGGCCTTTAGAGATTAGTGACCCGCACCGCCCAGGCTGCAAACACGGCTGCGGGGTGGGCATTGCAGGGCGTGTGCCCCTTGGAGGGGGCGGGAGGGCTATGGCGAAGGCTGCAGCAGCCGGCTCAGCTGTTCCTGAGCCTTGCTGAAAGCGGAAGGGCTGCTGGTGGCTCTGGTTCACCAAGTTCCCCCGCCGTGCGAGCTGGATCATGGGATGGTGTGGGCGGCAGGGGGAGGCAGGCCTTGCTACAGGGCTCCCTTCCCATCAGGGACACTGCGAGCCCCGGCCTGCCCTTCTTCGTGTCAGTGTGGCGGGCGAGGGCTTGGCCAGATGGGGGCAGTTACACCCACTCTGCCCTGGGCCCTGATCTGCAGGGGCAGGACTTTGATGCAGGGTGTTAACCAGCCCGCAGCCCCGCCTGCAGAGCCAGTGCTGACGGGGTGATGATGTTATTTCCCAAGAGTGTGCGTAGCGAGTGATAGCAGGCCTGATTCTCCCCTGCTCTTTACATCTGGGCAAGGTCACTGCCAGCGCTGGGCTGAGCCAGTGGAATTCCCCTTTGCTAGCCTGGCACGCCCAACTACCTCTGGCCTAACCGAGGACGCAGGGCGTGACCTGTCCTGGCTGCAGCAGGCAGAGAGGTGGCTGCTGGGATTCAGGGCAGGAAGAAACCGGGGCTGACTCAAGGACACAGCTGTGATTGCAGAAGTTATAGAAGAACTAGTCCGCCTTTCACCCCTGCCTCTCAAGTGCTTCCTGTCCCTCAGCCGGGCAGCTGCCACAGTGCCAAACACCCAGCAAGGCGAAACAGGAATTGCTGCCCAGGCCAGTACATTTCTGTTCCGCTTCTTTTATTTAGTGGAATGTGGCTCTGGATCGACTTTCTGCTGCTCCTTGTGGTGGTTTATCACGCTGCTGCTCATGCCAAAGAATCAGAGAGGGTCAAATTCTGCCCTGGAGTTCGGCGGGAGCTGTGTGCCGGCACCTCCAAGGGCAAGACTTTGCAGCCTTTACTGCTCTTCGCATCGCTGTTATTTCATGTTTGTGTTGTGGTAATGCTTGGAAGTTGCCTAGATCGAGATCCCGCTGTGTTAGGGGCGCCACAGAGAGATCGTGAGGGTTTCAAATCTGGGTAGAGTCATGTGTTTTTTCGGGAACAGAATTAAAGAGGATGGGTCTCCGTTGAGCTGTTCTGAATAGGAAACCTACGGCCCGGTGAAGGTTTCCCCAGGTGTTTTTGTTCCTAAAAATATCTTGCATTGTGCCCTAAGAACTCAGCACTTTGCAGACATAGGGCTGGTTTCTGATCTGTCCATCTGGAGTAGTACCAGTGCCTTCAGTTTAGGAAAGTGCTTTTCCAGCCTGGAAGAGCTTACAATCTAAAACCACCAAGAGAAACCAAGACGGGCCATGGGCCAATTGGTCAGGAAAGCTGGTGCATGGCAAGGTTACAGAGGAAGGCTTCCTGGAGCAGGAGAAGGGTGGAGGGGAGACCGTACCAGCTGGGATTCTCTGGTACGTGATGTGTGCAACCCTTTGTCCCAGGCGGTGTTTACCGTGGAAAAGAAGATCGTTGACATATGGATAAAGATCCCCTGTGTGGACCAGATTGGGAGCTGCACGTATGATGGCCTTTGCGGAATGCTGGACAACGTCATCCCCCCCGGATCACCATGCCCAGAGCCTCTGCTCAGCTACGGCATCCCCTGTCACTGCCCCTTCAAACAGGTAAGCGCTAAGCCAGCCATTTTCCGCATGTTCCTTGTCAGGACCTCCTGCTTCCCGTCTAGCCACGAGCCAGCAGGGAGCCTCCTGTCACATAGTGACATGGAAAGGGCAGTGTGGTCACAACCCCTAAGTCCAGGACCCCTGCTCAGCATGGCAGCCCTCCTCTCCCCGTGCCCTCTCCGTCAGCTATCTGTGTGCTGGGGAAGGGGCTTTGTGAGTAAATAAAAATAAATTAATGGAGATATCCTATCTCCTAGAACTGGAAGGGACCTTAGGTCATCGAGTCCAGCCCCCTGCCTTCACTAGCAAGACCAAGTACTGATTTTGCCCCAGATCCCTAAGTGGCCCTCTCAAGGATTGAACTTACAACCCTGGGTTTAGCAGGCCAATGCTCAAACCACTGAGCTATCCCTCCACCCAAAGTACTTGGAGGAGAGAGAATAGAAATCGGCAGCTGAGAGAAGGGGGTGTTAGAGGGCAGCATGTCTGTTGGCTGGATTCTCCATTGCCTTACAGCCCGGGGGTCAGGTCAGAGGAACTGGCTGTTGGTGGAGACAGGGTCCTGAACTAGATGGACCTGTTCTGACCCAATCCAAAGCACCCGCTTTGCACACACGGTGCAAGGCAGTGGGGAATCAGGCAGAGTCTGGGTCCAGCAGGCCCACGCCAGGGAGGTCTGGGCTTTGCCTCCCCATCCCTGGGGGCATTCTGCAGCCGTTGTGGGTCAGCAGCGCAGGAAGGCCCCCGGAGTTGTGGGCTAGGCTGGGAGCGAGGGAGTCCCTGAGGAGGGGCTCAGTCGCTGTGTGATCACTGGATCTTCTTGCACTTCGACTGGCCGAAGAAAGATGGTTCCAGACGGATTTGATGGGGTGTCCGCTCGCTTTGATCGCTGCTGCCACCTGGGGGCTGTTTGTAACATTGCTGGGAAACACTGCCCCAAAGGCAGCTGGACTCGCTCTGGCCTGGGAAAGTCTCCCAGATCAGGGGCAGGGAGTAACTTGCCTGCAGTGGTGAAGCTGGCTGGAGTGGAGAAAGTCGCCTTCCGGACACTGCCAGAGCCAGTCGTACTGAGCTAGCCCGGACAGTGGAAATGGGGCCCAGGAACATAGGGGAATACAGGCAGACACCCACAGGTGCTGAGATCTCTGAACCAAGCAGAGAGGCTGATCTGGAAATCACTGGGCAGTGGGCTGCAGGGTGGGGAAGTAATTAGTGATCAGTAGTTATGGATATTCGAACATGCTTGATTTGTTCATCTTGATAATGACTGCGATTCCACAAGAGGTGCAGGGCAGGGAGCAGATGGGGGTAGAATCTGAAAGCTTGGTGGGGTCACCCCTCAGTGGGCTTGTACCTTGGGGCAGGAGAGGCCGGTGGTGGGGTGAGGCGGGAGCTGCTGTGTGCTAACATCTTGGCATCTGTTTCTCTCCTCAGGGCTCCTACTCCCTGCCATCCAGTGAGTTCTACTTGCCCATCATACAGTTGCCCTCCTGGCTGACTAATGGCGACTACCGCATCCAGGTTGTCCTGAGCAACGATGCCAAGCAGCTCGCCTGTGTCAAGGTGGCCTTGTCCCTCCACTCCGAGTGAGGCTGGCCAGCCCTGCCCGACCACAAGCCCACCCCCCGCTGCAGACTGCCGCGTTTCCTTTCTCTTCCCGCTGGCAGAGACACACCCCGGAGCCGGTTGGCAGCTCTCTTCCTCCTTCCGCTGCCTCTTGCTGTCGCCGGCCCTCACACAGCTGCTGCTTGCCCTTTCCTGCCTCTATTCGCCCTTCTCCCTCTCAGGAAAAAATGGCCAATGGAGGGGGGGATGGCGGGGAGAGGCCTTTGTCTTCTATGCAGGGTGGACTTAGAGGTGGGCAAGGCTGGCAAATGCCAGCGGGGCCCTCTCTGGTTGGGTCCCTCCTGATTCAAAGCCTCTTGAAGTCAATAGGAGCCTTTCCAAGGGCTCCGGCTCCTAGCAAGGAGACTTGAGAGAGTCTTCGTCGCAGTGCCTACAATTGCAGCCCCACTTGTTGCCTTTCCCAGCGGGGCTTAGAGCCCTTCCCTCCACCCCTGTTCATGCTGTTCTGGAGAGCAGCGTCCCTCTTCTGGTCCTGGTCGGCTGCGCACCATTCACCATGCCAGCTTTGGGCAGATTCCCTGAAGTCAATAGAAAACACACCCACCCCCCGGAGGGATCAGGCCCACAGGGAGGCACACAGCACTAAACAGAACTTCCCATCGCAGTTTCTGTTTGAGTCCCAGCTGCGCTTTGCTGGGGAACGCCCCACACTGCAGCGCTATGTGCTGGATGGCCGTATGGGTCTCTTCTGCCCCTGACTTCTCTGATCCTAGGAAATATCAGGTTAAACTGCTGGCTCGGGTCTAATGCTGACACTTTCCGTCATATCCTAGTGGTGGCTCCAACTTTCCGGAGCTCCGTTCCAGGCCAGAATGTTCCCTATGCGCACTCTCGCCTTGAGAGAGTCGTATCGCTGTGCTACAAACCAGCCTTAAGGGGGGGGGGGGGGGTCTAGTTTGATTATTTTCCCACATATGTAATGAAATTGCATTTTTCATGTTGCTTAATGCTCCCTTCTCCCCCCTCCAGTCAGTAACAATGGGAGGGCCTGGTAGCCCTCTAGTTGACTGGTGTTAAACAAAATGGGGTTTCACAATATTCCACCCATTGAGTGGCCTAGTTAACCTCTACCGTCCCAGGGGGTTTTGCCATCTGTGGGCTAGGGTGTGGGGCTGTTTTTGTGTGTCTGGGTTTTTTTTTTTAAATATCACACAGGGAATTTTAGAAAACAAAATTGAAGGAAGAAAACAAAAAGAAATAATGCTTTTAAACAATCAGTTGGAAAAAGGAAAAAAGGCTTAGAGCTGGCTGCCTCTCTCTGCAATGTGGCGGTCGGTTGCCGGTCAGGAGTGCCGTCTTGTATACTTTGAGGGTGCAAGCCCTCTCCAGGAATGTGCACCCCGACACTTGACTGGAGAAATGACATGTTCATTCTTACTGGCCACTTCTGGAGACAGGATACTGAGCTAGATGGACCATTGGTCTATCTTGGGGTGGCACTTCTTATGTGTCTGAGTCAACCTGGGCAGCAGCAGCAGGAAACCTGTCAACACGAATCGCTGTACAGCTAGCACTGAATTCTCTGACAACAAATAACCTTCCTAAACGGGACCACGCTGGACCAGATCTATTCCGAAGAAGTCATTGCTTATGGTAATGTAAGGAGAGCCGGGAGGGTGGGCATCGCCAGCCAAAGAGACAGATCTTCAACAGCATGAACATTATCTCTCTCCCATGTCTGCATGAAAAAAAGAAAAGAGGAACAAACCAAGAAAGGTACTAATATTCTCACTACCAGGGGACCAAATGACTCATTCTGCTCTGGGCTTCTGTGACTCTAAAAAGGATGTGGTTGTGATGGCTTGAACCAAAGGAACAATTTGATTGGCTGATGAGGATTCCAAGCAGTGTAATTATGAAACTGAAAATCACCTGACTCTGAACTTCTCGACCCCAGTGTTGGAGTGACCATTTCTTAAAGGTGCTAACCCATGGTGAGGCAGGCGGTCACACCGCCATGTCCTGGGCAGAGGAACAAATGAGTTTAGAACCTCGTAGGTTTGCAGCTGGCATATTTAGCAGCTACAGCAAAGGAATGGGGCACCCAAAAATGTGCTGATCGGACTCTTGGTTCATCGGTCTTGACAGGCTTTAGGGAGCAGAGTCTCTGTTTGGCGTAAATTGTTGTAGCTCAGGATGTGCCCCTGGAAATAGGGAGTCGGGACCCTAATCCGGTGTACTCTGGGCTGTTGATTTGTTCACTTTGGGTGCGATTCTGCACTGTTAAGTCAATGGGAACTTTGCTGTTGATTTCAATGGGTATGGGATCAAATTGCTTGGGTGGTGT